CCTCAGCAGTGCGGGCTGTCGACGGCGCGGCCTGGCTGCCCACCTGGGGGCAAGCACAGGGAGGCTCCTCCTCCTCCTCCTCCTCCTCCTCCTCCTCCTCCCTCATTCTCCTGCTCCTTCTCCTTTTCCTCCATCCTCCTCCCTCCTCCTCCTCCTCCCTCTCCCTACCCCTCCGCCGCCTCCTCTCTCCCTCCTCCCCCTCCTCCTCCTCCTCCTCCTCCACCTCCTCCTTCCTCCTCCTCCTACTCCTCCCTCCTCCTCCCTCCTCCTCCTCCTCCTCCTCCTCCTCCTCCTCACTCCTCCTCCTCCTCCTCCTATCCTCATCATCATCATCATCATCATCATCATCATCATCATCATCATCATCATCATCATCATCATCATCATGATCATCATCATCATCATCAGCATCATCATCATCAGCATCATCATCATCATCATCATCATCATCATCATCATCATCATCATCAGCATCAGCATCAGCATCAGCATCAGCATCATCATCATCATCATCATCATCATCATCATCATCATCATCATCATCATCATAATCATCATCATCATCATCATCATCATCCGCCTTTTCCTCCTCCTCCTCCCGTTTCCTTAGAACCAGCTCCTCCCCGTCGCACCACCAGGCGTGTCCGTAGGCCATGCCGGGCGTTTTGCCTAAGACTTCCCTACAGCTTACAATCGCGAAGTTTCACCATCCCACCAGCTACGCGGATGGAGGGGGTCCTTATTGAAATGGGGCTGTCGCCTTAGCGCCGCGCAACTTGGTCTGAAAAGCTTCCGGCACTTATACAGATGGAGGCCAGGACCTTCTCAGAATGAGAATCTCGCCTGTGGTGCGCACACACTCGCCTGAAACGCCAGCAACAGTTACACGAATGGAGGCCAAGACCTTCTCAAAATGAGGCTCTCGCCTTGGGGGCGCGGGCACTCATCTGAACCGCCAGCAAAAGGACGGCGGCTGCTTTTCGAAACTAAGCTCTCGCCCGATAACTCCTCAAACAGATCAACCAGGAAAGCGTGCACAGGTGCCACAGCTGCCCGGATGGATGGCGGTGCCCTTTCAAAATGGTGCTCTCGTTTAAAGAGTGCTCCTCGAAGCCACGAGCATCAGCAACATCTTGCGCACCGATTGCACGGATTGGGGGTGGTGCTTCCTTTCGAAAAAGGGGGGCTCTCACGGTACACCTCGTTGAACTTTAGTAGGGGAACAAAAAGTGAAACAAACATAAAAACTCGGAGGTCCGCGCAGACTTCTGGGATCGGCGCTGGGGCCCCCCCGGCGCCGCCTCCGGCGCCGCCCCTGGCGCGCTCCGCGCGCCAGGGAGGGGGGTCCAGCGCCGATCCGAGAAATCCGCGCGGACCTCCGAATTTGTTCATGCTTATGTCACCGTTCGTTCCCCTCTTTCGGACCCTGCCGTGCCGCACGTCGGCCAAGGATTTGCCAGGCAGAGAGGCCGGGCAGGCCCATGGCATCGCGGGCTCCCAACACGGGGTCTCCGCCCGAGTGGCGGCAGGCCCGTAGGGTGCTCGTCTCTCTCTCCACGGGGGGTGCGCCTCGTGCAGGGCAGGAGGAGAGGATCCTGCCCGGGCCTCCGACCAGAGAGCTCTTGGGACGGGGGGGCGTGCTGCAGCACCGTGCACGTATGCAAGGTTTGCCATGGTCCTCCTCCTCCATCTCCCATCTCCCATCTCCTCCTCCTCCTCCTCCTCCTCCTCCTCCTCCTCCTGCTAAAGTCGGACTTGATTGGACAGGACACGCGAGAGGGCACGAGACCCTCTCGAGGGCCACGTTGCCACAGGAACGTCGGAAGCATGGGCCGCGAGACACAGGACACAAGGGTACCCTAGATTTGGCAGGGTCGACCTACTAAGCAGGGCCGACTGTGTAGTTTTCCTCCTCCTCCTCCTCCTCCTCCTCCTCCTCCTCCTCCTGCGGGGGCGGAAAGTCTGTCCGCGCGAGACTCGCCCCCACGGAACGCCGCCCCCAGGAGCGCGAGAAAGGTGTAGAGCAGCGGAGGGCACCAGTGGTCCACCGCCCAGCCCGCTCCTCGTACTCCTCCTTCTCCCGCTCCTCGTCTTTCTCCTCCTCATCCTCCTCCACCTGCTCCTCCTCCTCCTCCTTCTCCATTCCGTTTCCTTGCAAATGATTTCCCCCTCTCACACCCCGAGGCAAGTTTTTAGGGCGGGCCCGGCGTTCCGCCTCTGACTTGCTCATTAATTATGACCCTGAAGCTTAAAATTTGGTAACAGATTCACAGATGGAGGGCGGGCCGTTTTCAAAATGTGGCTCTCACCTGAGCGCCGCCAAGAGCTTAAATGATTGAGGGCGAGTCGTTTTCAACATGTGGCTCTCGCCTTAGCGCCGCGCACATTCGCTTCACACATTTGAAAGGATCTCACGGATTGAGGGCGAGTCGCTTTCAACATGTGCAGGACTTTCAAGAATTGGGAGCGGCTCCTATTTAAAAATGTGGCTCTCGCCTTAGCGCCGCGCACATTCGCTCTAGCAAATTGCAAGAGCTTCACGGATTGAGGGCGGCTCCCTTTCAAAATGTGCCTCTCGCCTTAGCGACGCGCGCATTCGCGTTTTTGATCGAAGTTGAAAGAGTTGCACCGATTCCCATGATCAGCGTACCAGAAATTGTGTCTGGAAGGATTCAGGATCAGGAGGGCGCAGTAGTGACGTTGGTTCGCGGGAATGGCGTTCTGGCACGATTTCGGATCGTCAAGACGCAACAATAAGTTTTATCCATGGCGTTGGAATCCCGAGAACTATGTTTTGGCACGCTTCAGGGTCTTCAAACGGTTGTCTTCCAACCAGGCAGATCCGTGCAGAGGGAGCTTAAAAAAGGAGGGTTCATTCCAACATCGTTGACCACTCTTGGGTTCTCAGTGGTCCTCCTCCTCCTCCTCCTCCTCCTCCTCCTCCTCCGTCGTGCTCCTTTCCCTCGTCCTCCTCGCCCTCGGGGTTCTGAGGCTCGGAGAGGATCCGGGAGCCTCTGGAGGCCTCTGGGCAACCGTCGGGGGCCTCCAGCGGCCAGCGGGGGGGCCTCCTCCTCCCACTTTTCGCCCCCGCGTGTTCAATGCAGGCCGCCAGGCCGCGGGTCTCTTCCTGCTCCGCCGCCTCCGTGGATGTCCCGGGCTGGCCTTGATCGCACAAAGGTCAAACCGCCTGCACAAAACTCGACGGACCGAATCGAGCCCCGTCAGCGTGGAGGAAGGGGGGCGCCGGTGGGGCTGCGCGGTTGCATCGGCACGCGCGAGTGAGCCGATCGAGCAGTGAGAAGCAATGAGCTCCTCCTCCCGCTAAGGAGGGGGAAAAGGGAGGGAGGAAAGATCCGGGTTGGTCGAAGGATGTTTGCGAGGCTCGTTCCAAGAGGCTTGAGGTTGGTCTGGGCGCTTCTGATGGAGTGGGAGGAGGGCGAGAAGAGAGGAAGGGTCATGGGGACCAGCTGCTCCCGAGCACCGCCACAGAATGGGCCTCGCCGAGATCAATTTCGCTGGGGCAGCTGGCGTCCCCAAACTCCTCCTCCTCCTCCTCCTCCTCCTCCTCCTTCCTCCTCCTCCTCCTCCTGTCCTCCTCCTCCTCCTCCTCCTGTCCCCTCCTCCTCCTCCTCCTCCTCCTCCTCCTCCTCCTCCTGCTCCTCCTCCTCCTGTTTTCCTCCTCCCCCTTTCCTCGTCCTCCTCCTCGCCCTTCTCCTCCTCCTCCTCCTCCTCCTCCTCCTCCTCCTCCTCCTCCTCCTCCTCTGGCGAGGGCGGCTGCGCCAGCGGAGTCCAGCCGAAGGGTGGCAGAGAATGTCGGCGAAAAGAGAGGAGGGTGGAGGAAGAGGGAGAGCAGGAGCCAGGGGGAGGAGAGGAGGAAGAGGCAGGAAGAGGGAGAGAAGAGGAGGAGGCGGCGGAGGAGGAGGAGGAGGAGGAGGAGGAGGAGGAGGAGGGAGTGAGGGACAGGCAGGAAAAGGGAGAGATGAGGATGAGGATGAGGATGAGGATGAGGATAAGGATGATGATGATGATGAGGAGGAGGAGGAGGAGGAGGAGAAGGAGGGGAGGAGGGAGGGAGGGAGGGAGGGGGGGGAGGAGGGAAGGGAAGGAGGACTGTTCTGTTCCCCAGCGTGTGCGCAGCCCTCGCGGGACGGGGCGGTAGCGGCCGCGCTACCGTGTTTTTTGCTTCGCGGGGGCAGGGGATGCTTTTTCAACGCGACGTGGCAGGAGGAGGAGGAGTGCAGGAGGAGAGGGATCAGAGAAACCAGGGACGAGTCAACGATGCCGAAGCGCACCCTCCAGTCCGAAGCCCCCATGCCCTGCGAGCCGCCTGCAGCCGGTCCTGCTCCCTGCGGGACGCGGCCCCCCTCTCGAAGACCAGCGCCCCCCTTGCGTTGGGCGTCGAGCCGAAGCGCCGGTTCGGAGAGAGCCCGTCTAAAATGCAAGGAAGTGCGACCGTGAAAGAGGAGCAGGTCAAAGCAACACACAGAGAACCATCGGACCCGATGTCTGTCCCGACTTACGGGGCTCAAACAGGCTCGATCTAAGCGGCCGCTTCCCACACAACGGGCCCTCGTGGCGGGGAAAACGTCCAAGCCTGGAGACGACATCAGTGGAGGGATGTGTGGGAAGGACGAGGATGGGGGAGGAGGACGAGCTGGGACACGTTGAAGCGGCAGGGGGGGGGCATCGCGAATCCGCTGCGCGCGCTGCAAGAGAGCCCCTGCTTCGACAAGGACCCGCCCTTCCATCCACCTGAGCAAGGATGTGCGACTGTGAAAGACTGGTCTACTCTGTAAGAA